TGGTGTACACATACAAGGCACTGAATGGAACAGCTCCTCAGTACCTACAGCCAAAACAATAATACACAAGATATCTGTGATAATGTGAAATCTCGTCACTACATAAGATACGTCTCTGATAAGATGTCTTATATAATGTGAATTGTGAAATCTCGTCACAACACAGATTTCTTATATAATGGCAAATCTCGTCACTACACAAGATATCATATATAATGGTAAATCTCGTCACTTCACAAGTTACATGTAGGTACGAGATTTTGACAAAATTTCAAAAACAAAGTTTCCCCTCCCAGAATCTCTCAATGATCCCGAGGTTTCCTATTACTGTGTCGGTTTGCATTGAATATATATGCAAATGTTTTATGTCTGACGCGACTATTTCTAATGACAAGCCAACTTAACAGATGATATATACTTAAGGAACCCCGTACCACTGCCAGAAACTGTAACAAAGTATTGGAAACGATTTTTCCTGACACGACTATAGCTTTGATAAATCACTTTTGAAAAAAAAAACATACCTTGCGTGACTTTTTATGGAAAAATAATGAAGATATGTTACTAATTTTCGTATATACAGTAACCCCCCTTATCTTCCGTTTATGTGTATTACGTTATGTAGTCTTCACGTTTATGTATATTACGTTTTGTAGTCCTCAAGTTGAGCCCGGACCTTTTCGTTGACGAGATAGCTTAGACGGTTAGAGCGATAGTAACACAGTCTGAAGTCCTGGGTTCGAATCCCTGCCAAATCGTAACGTTTAGAACAGTACTGTTTTTATTTTGAAAGAGAAATATAACGATCACAAATGTATATACCAATGTTACTACCCAAGTAGTATCAAAATGAAAAATGAATATATTTGCAAGGGAAGTAACTCTAAGCAGGAAAAAACTCATGTAGTTAAAGTGGAGCTCTTCGCGATTATAATTATTACGTGTACGGTACAACTTACCATAAATACCCCAGTTGGTTTGTCACAATATCTGCTCATTTTAATTATTCGAAATCAACTAACAAAATGTTCACTGTTATCAGAATGGATATATATCACATATTTGATCTGCATTGTTCATTTGTATACATGTCAGACAAGTGTTGTCTTAGAACGAATGTGGACGTGTATGTATATTACATATTGCTTGTATAATGGTGGACCAAGAGGGGTTCTCTATGCAAAAAAACCCAACAACATATTTTTCCCCATTAAGAAACCCCTCCCCTCTTTCACAGGAAATTTTGAAAGGCCCTCAGTCCCAACCTCCGATTGTCCAGTTCTGCCACTTTTTGTGTCTTTTTTCTGTACAGGTTTCCATAAATCTATGCCCCAGTAATTCAGTCTTAAAATCGTTTTCTATTTGATTTTTCAGAGGTATTTCTAGACCAGCACCATGGATATCTTCACATTACTTGGGATTCTGTATCTGGCGACAATAGCCGCGACTGACCATTGCACACTCAGCGGCACAGAGAAAAACAGAATGGTGAACTTGAATTACACAGGCGACGACGCCATTGTGGCTTTTTTAGGGAGTCAGACTGTGATGACATCATCGGATTGTGTCAACACGTGTTGTCATACAGGTAAACTAATTGAAGTAAAACCTCGTTATACTGGCATCACAACGCAAGGAATTGGCGTTATAAAGAGGCTACATAATATGTTGATTGGGACGCATACATGAATTTGAAACAATTATAGAACAAGCGGACATCGTAATGTTATAGTGATAAGCTTAGTAGCAATATATCGAGATAGGGACAGTATATTGTACGTTGACACTTTATAGTAACAAACAATTGGGATTATATCGAAATTTTGCAGTATCGTGACAAACAATGGACATTATATCGAGAGTTTACTATATAGTGACAAACAATGGGCATTATATTGAGGGTTTACTGTATAGTGACAACCGATGACATTATGTAAATGTTTAAGTGTACGAGATTTTACAGAAACTTGTGATCATTTGTTTTCGTTGTTCAAATCTAAAAGTAGTACTGTGTACGATTTTTCAAAATTAATCTGTAGGGTACATGAATCCACTTCAAGTCAACCCCCTTAAACCATTTCTAATAGACGTAGTCATTTGGAGCCAAAAGAGAGCCTATTTCGTCTTTTCGTATTGCAGAGTAATCTGTTCTTGTGAGCAGGTATTGATTGTAACGTCATTAGTTTGTGTGAGAAAATTACGTCGTTTTCACGCAATTTTCTCAAAAAAATTATGACGTTACTCTCACAAACAAATGACGTAACAATCAATACCTGCTCACAAGAGCAGATAACTCTGCAATACGAAAAGACGGAATATTGAGACATTTGTCTATGAACCGGATGTGACGTTACAGTGACGACGGTTTTTTCAGACTAGCCCAGTATATATGTAATGTTGTATTGTGTTTCAGTTGACTGCAATGTTGCTGAGTTCAATAGCAGAAATGACAGTGATACAGACAATAATTGCCATATGTATAAATGCGAAGGATGCAAGCTGAAGAAGCGAAATAAATTTACCTCATATTTTATCAACGACGAAAATGACGTCGACACTTCAACAGAAAGTACTATAAATAGTGACAATACTAGCACGCTGACGTCATCCACATTATCAACAGCGCCCTCTGAAAATGAAAAAAATCCAGAATTCCAGAGGATTGTGCTAAATAAAACAGCGGCTACTATGGTAGCCCCAGACACTGTTCCTAAAGTGGAGAACTCCGTAAAAGGAGAAACGTTACAAGAATCGGAAATAAATATTCCAGTAGTTATACCCGATTTACCATCTACATTAGACGATTCCCAGATGTTAGGTTCAGGTCCGACTGGAAATGTAGATCCAACGCAAACTGGTTCATCAAACGTGAATTCGCCAGCCAATATTACCCCGATAGTACCCGGATCGGCGACGAGTATTGGGACTTCGGACACCTCGGGGACACAAGGTAGTGCTATTGAATCAAAACCGTCAACAACAGCAACAGACGATTCCCCGCCATTGACTGACCAAACCAACACGGATACGAGTCCAACCTCAGACAACGCACCTTCAGAAAAACCAACAACTAAATCAGATACAGCTCCACCTTCAGATTCAACTCAAACAGACTCATCTAAAGGAACTCCATCAACGGACTCGACTGGGGATTCCCCAGTATCAAATACTAAGTCAAGTCCAGATACAGCATCACCTTCAGATACCACGCAGACCGATTCATCACAAGCTAAGCCTACAACAGGTACATCAGACAAGTCTACGGTATCGAACAACGCGCCAAGTTCAGATACAGCGCCATCCTCAGATTCAACCCAAACAGACTCACCTGGAGGAAAGCCATCAACAGACTCATCCGGGGATTCCTCCGTATCAAACACCGAATCAAGTCCAGATACAGCGCCATCTTCAGATGCAACACAAGCTGACTCATCTTCAGGAAACCCAACATCCAATCCAAACCAACCAAGTTCCGACCTAAGTGAAAAAGGCGGTGAAACGCCAACCCCGAAATCCACATCTTCTTCTGGAAGCTCATCCGACAACACAGATGTTGCCACCGGCAAGACTAAAGTAACATCATTACCAGATAACTCAAAAACACCATCAGGTGACTCAACGACGTCAAACGACGCTGCTAACACAGACAATCCACCGACATCAGAGGATGCATCAAATTCTGCAAATCCGTCACCCACTGCGGACCAGTCTTCGGACACATCAGCGCAAACTGGTGATCAGGCGTCGACAGTAAACGAGGACGATGGTTCAAATGGCACGCCTGCTCCCACTGCAGACGAAGTCAACTCAAAGAAGGAAGAAACGGATACACAACAAGGTGAGTCGATATTTTACAACCGTTTGACAGAAAAAATGTTAGATGCTTACAGAGAAAAATAATATAAACACTATATCATGTGTTGAGTGAATCATTCAAATTAGTGTAGCCATCAAATATTGAATCCTGTAAATGGTGAATCCTGCATATCTTGAATCCTGTAATTGATGAATCCTGCATATCTTGAATCCTGTAAATAGTTAATACTGTAAATGGTGAATCCTGCATATATTGAATTCTGTAAACGGTAAATCCTGTAAATGGTGAATCCTGCATATATTAAATTCTGTAATTGGTGAATCCTGCATATATTGAATCCTGTAATTGATGAGTCCTGCATATATTAAATCCTGTAATTGATGAATCCTGCATATCTTGAATACTGTAAATAGTTAATACTGTAAATGGTGAATCCTGATTATATTTAATCCTGTAATTGATGCATGATGCATATCTCGAATCCTGTAAATAGTTAATACTGTAAATGGTGAATCCTGCATATATTGAATTCTGTAAACGGTAAATCCTGTAAATGGTGAATCCTGCATATATTAAATTCTGTAATTGGTGAATCCTGTAAATAGTGATATCTTAGACATGTCTTTCAGTAATATCTTGAATAATGGGAAATTCCTTTGATAGAATTAATATTGTTACATGTAAACTGAATGCTGTTACATATATGGAATTTACCTAATTTTAGCAATCAAAATAACAACAAAATCAGCCGCACCAAAACAAACCACACCAAAACCAACAACACCAAAACCAACAACACCAAAACAAACCACACCAAAACCAACAACACCAAAACCAACAACGGCAAAACCCACAACACCAAAACAAACTACACCAAAACAAACTACACCAAAACAAACTACCCCAAAAACCACAACACCAAAACAAACAACACCAAAACCGACAACGGCAAAACCCACAACACCAAAACCAACAACACCAAAACCGACAACGGCAAAACAAACTACACCAAAACGAACAACACCAAAACCAACAACACCAAAACAAACCACACCAAAACCAACAACACCAAAACCAACAACACCAAAACAAACCACACCAAAACCAACAACACCAAAACCAACAACGGCAAAACCCACAACACCAAAACAAACTACACCAAAACAAACTACCCCAAAACCCACAACACCAAAACAAACTACCCCAAAACCCACAACACCAAAACAAACAACGCCAAAACCGACAACACCAAAACCAACAACACCAAAACCAACAACGGCAAAACCCACAACACCAAAACAAACTACACCAAAACAAACTACACCAAAACAAACTACCCCAAAAACCACAACACCAAAACAAACAACACCAAAACCGACAACGGCAAAACCCACAACACCAAAACCAACAACACCAAAACCGACAACACCAAAACAAACTACACCAAAACAAACTACCCCAAAAACCGCAACACCAAAACAAACAACACCAAAACCAACAACGGCAAAACCCACAACACCAAAACCAACAACGCCAAAACCAACAACGCCAAAACCAACAACGCCAAAACCAACAACGCCAAAACCAACAACACCAAAAACCAAAACCGACAACGGCAAAACAAACTACACCAAAACCAACAACACCAAAACCGACAACACCAAAACAAACTACACCAAAACCGAATACGGCAAAACAAACTACACCAAAACAAACCACACCAAAACCGACAACGGCAAAACCGACAACACCAAAACCAACCACGCCAAAACCGACAACGGCAAAACAGACAACACCAAAACCGACAACGCCAAAACCGACAACACCAAAACCAACAACGCCAAAACCAACAACACCAAAACCAACAACGGCAAAACAAACTACACCAAAACCCACAACGCCAAAACCGACAACGCCAAAACAAACTACACCAAAACCGACAACACCAAAACCAACAACACCAAAACCAACAACACCAAAACCGACAACGGCAAAACAAACTACACCAAAACCAACAACGGCAAAACCCACAACACCAAAACAAACTACACCAAAACAAACTACCCCAAAACCCACAACACCAAAACAAACTACACCAAAACCGACAACGGCAAAACCCACAACACCAAAACAAACTACACCAAAACCTACAACGGCAAAACCCACAACACCAAAACCAACAACACCAAAACCGACAACGGCAAAACAAACTACACCAAAACCAACAACACCAAAACCGACAACGGCAAAACAGACAACACCAAAACCAACTACACCAAAACCGAATACGGCAAAACAAACTACACCAAAACAAACTACACCAAAACCGACAACGGTAAAACCGACAACGGCAAAACCGACAACACCAAAACAAACCACGCCAAAGCCGACAACGGCAATACAGACAACACCAAAACCAACAACACCAAAACCAACAACGGCAAAACCAACAACACCAAAACAAACCACGCCAAAGCCGACAACGGCAATACAGACAACACCAAAACCAACAACACCAAAACCGACAACGGCAAAACAAACTACACCAAAACCAACAACAGCAAAACCCACAACGCCAAAACCAAAAACACCAAAACAAACAACACCAAAACCAACAACACCAAAACCAACAACGCCAAAACCGACAACGCCAAAACCGACAACACCAAAACCAACAACACAAAAACCAACAACACAAAAACCAACAACACCAACAACACCAAAACCAACAACGCCAAAACATACGACACCAAAACCAATAACACCAAAACCAACAACGCCAAAACCGACAACGGCAAAACAAACTACACCAAAACCAACAACGGCAAAACCAACAACACAAAAACCAACAACACCAAAACTGACAACGCCAAAACCAACAACACAAAAACCAACAACACCAACAACACCAAAACCAACAACGCCAAAACCGACAACGGCAAAACAAACTACACCAAAACCAACAACGGCAAAACCAACAACGCCAAAACCAACAACACCAAAACCAACAACACAAAAACCAACAACGCCAAAACCGACAACACCAAAACAAACTACACCAAAACCGACAACACCAAAACCAACAACACCAAAACCAACAACACAAAAACCAAAAACACCAAAATCAACAACGCCAAAACATACAACACCAAAACTGACAACGCCAAAACCGACAACGGCAAAACAAACTACACCAAAACCAACAACGGCAAAACCAAAACCAACAACGGCAAAACGAACAACGCCAAAACCAACAACACCAAAACAAACAACGCCAAAACCGACAACACCAAAACCAACAACGCCAAAACCAACAACACCAACAACACCAAAACCAACAACGCCAAAACATACAACGCCAAAACAGACAACACCAAAACCAACAACGCCAAAACCAACAAAACCAACAACACCAAAACAAACAACGCCAAAACATACAACGCCAAAACCGACAACGCCAAAACCAACAACACCAAAACCGACAACAGCAAAACAGACAACACCAAAACCGACAACGGCAAAACCAACAACGGCAAAACCAACAACACCAAAACCAACTACACCAAAACCAACAACGGCAAAACCGACAACGCCAAAACCAACAACGGCAAAACAGACAACGCCAAAACCGACAACACCAAAACCAATAACATCAAAACAAACAACACCGAAACCAACAACACCAAAACCAACAACACCAAAGCCGACAACACCAAAACTGACAACACCAAAACCAACATCTCCAAAAGAAACTACACCAAAACTGATAACACCAAAACCAACGACGCCAAAACCGACAGAACCGGAACCAACTACACCCATACCAGCGACACCAAAACCAAACGCACCTAAACTAACTAAAAGACCGTCAAAACTTACAACTCCGGTACCCTCAACTCATAAGCCTGCAACACAGACACCAACTATACCAAATCCAACCACACCAAAGCCAATAACAAGACCACCAACAAATCAAAAACAAACAACACCAAAGCCAACAACACTAAAAGCGAAAACGCCAAACCCAGAACCAACAACCCTAAAACCAATTACATCAAAACAAACTACAAAACCACCAACAACTCCGAAACCAACCACACCAAAAGCTACTTCACAAAAACCAACACCTACACAAAAACCAACAGCACAACAAACAACAACACTACCCCAAAGACCAGCAAAACCAACAACATCAAACGTAGTCACAATGGAGCAAACTACAGAGGTTCATACACTTTTCCCCGAAACAACTTTAAAACCGACAACACCGAAACACACAACACCAAAACCGACAACACCAAAACAAACAACACCAAAACCAACAACATCAAACATAATCACAATGGAGCAAACTACAAAGTTTCATACACTTTTCCCCGAAACAACTTTAAAACCGACAAAACCAAAACCGACAACGCCAAAACAAACAACACCAAAACAAACAATACCAGAACAAACCACAGCAAAACCCGAATCAACAACACAAAAGCGACCTACACCCAAGTCAGTCAAAATAGGTCAAACCACATTAGCACAATCACTTTTCCCGGAAACAACTCTTAAACATACAAAGAACTCACCAACCTCACTTAAACCTACCACAAAACCACCAATAGCAAACACGGTTACAGCCGACAAACAGAACACGAAAAAAGACACTTTACCAACCACAGAATTAAACCTTGACTTCCATACAACCACAGTACCGACGATCGACTTGAATCAAGGTAAAACATTTTATATTACTTCAATTTATTAACACCTCAACTATACAAATACACAGTCATATCGAATTGTATGTGTATTCAAGTTGAATCACTTGTGGATGTAATTTTCGAATTTCGGTTGCCAAAATAATCTTTGAGTATGTAAAAATCGGATTGAATTTTTCATACAATGTAATTTCGATACCGAAGCTTAATTTATCAAACACAAAAAAAAAGAACAAATCAGAATCGTCAAAGCGGGGGATAAATGATACAATTAAATATTCAGGGGATACTTTCAGTATGCAAATTTGCTTACCAATACGATTTTTTTCCAATCCAAATGCCGATTTCTGAAATAAAAACAAGTTATAAATTAACTTAGACACACGGAATTTAATGTAATAATGCCAAATCTTTGGTGTGATTTTGTATACTCAAACAAAATCTTGAAGGAAAACAATGAGATAATTAAGACTTAAAATATTCGAATATTTGGTTCCCTATGGTATTTAAAATATTACATTTCTAAAATGATTTATTGATGGAAAACATCCAAAAAATATGATACACATGTATACATTTTTATTTTATACGAGTCAAATACTAACCAAATCTGAGGTATAATGGATTAGTATCATTACATCTCCGATAAGCTCTGATAACCTAGCGAAAGGTAAAATAGCCGTAAAATAAGTCTTATTCGCCCGAACTGCAAAACTTAATATAAAACAATAGCATATTTTATTCGATATTCAAGAACTTTCTGTCTTTTAAATAAGGTAATAGGAAGTTGTCTAAATAACATTCGAGAAAAAATACTATTAGAATGAGGTTGAATCATAATTAAAAAAAAATAAAGTTATTATAAGTTGTTTATAAAAAGATATATGTTTAATATTCAATAGTTTTGATCATATCATATCAAATTAACAACACGCCGTCCACCTTATTTACGGTTGTAAAAACATTTTGCAAAGGAAAACATTTTTTCAGTAACAATTTGTATTCGATAATCACGTGAGAAACTTTCTGTCTTTAAAATAAGGGAAAATGAAACCGTCTAAATAGCATTTGAGAAACATGTATTATTAATTTTAGATTTTGATCATTCTGTTTAGCTTGAATAATGCTTTTTCAAATAGGTTAAAGTTTGAATGAAAACGTGATAAGAAGTAGTATACTTACTAACGCTTCATTTCGACATCAAAGTATAACTTGGATCCAATCTCTTACTACGCGAGGGCCTCTCACACAATGGACGAAACTGTAGTGCTACAATGACGTAAATTCCTTCACCAGGTAACACTACAAGAATGACAAATGAGTGTAAGACACTTGTGGGTGCAACTGTAAATTGTGTAATAGATAGAGTAAGCCAAAAAAATTACCGGTGATACTAGGGACAAAAAGGTTGGAAATCCAAACTGGTCTAACGTACTGTTGAAACAGAAGGGGAGATACATAAACCCCGCAATTATATGAATTCAAGAATAAGAGTATGCATACTATAAACCTTGCCACTACCCAGAAGAGATAATTGTTATCTAGTTATTGTATACCCAGAGGATAGCAACACTTTTCGGGAAATTCACTTTTTCCTGATGACTGAAGCTATTGGTTCATCGTTGGACCAATCTGGGTTCACGTAGATGTTGACTGCCCCCCCTCCTCCCCTCCTCCCCTCCTTCCCGCCTCGTTGCTGTTGATGGCGTCCTTCGTTTATCGTTAGCAATGCAGCAAAGGCTTTGTACCACCTCTAGCAGTGAATCTGTTCGTGTTGAACAACTAGAACAGACGTCTCAGATAACGGATCGGGACAAACTATATCATAGGATCACCAATGTCACTAAACCACAAATGTAAAGGAACCATGCAACATCAAAGTGCTACAGCATGTAACTGGAAAGGAAAGAGGCCGGAAGACCGAGAAATTGTTTCATTGTCAAATGGTAATGTGATATGACACACTAACTGCAAGGAAAGAAGAACGTCCCGCCATTAGTTTATAGAGAATTCCCATATTTTGTTTTTAGAAATATATCAACTTCATCTCCCACAAACCATTAACCGTCTCTGGTAAGGACTTCTTAAGATAGGTGCAATCACATTGGAAGAATGAAACACAAGATAAAACATAATTTCTTTAAAATTGAATTAAATTAAAATTAATTTCCAGCAAACTATGGTTATTCTACTTGTGCTTACGACAAAATCGATCAATTGAATTTATATATTTAGTCACATAATGTCACCATTCCATATGTAAAAGTAACAACGAACGAATTGGCACGTGCAATGAAGAGGGATCAGTCCCCAAAGACACTGCTGAAACAATATTAAACCTTTGATACGTACTGATTCATCCCTATGACAAACAAACAAAACTACCAAAGTCGTTTTTGGAATTTCATGCAAGAACAGTCAGGATAACTTCGTTGGAAAAACAATTGGTGCAAACTTGAAAGAACACCAAAACGATATACAAGAAATGGCATGTATTTCCAATGCAAAAGTCCGTAATAAATCACCAAGATAACTATAGGAATCATAACATTGATTTGGATAGCACGAATGTTGAAAACAAGGAAGACACACAGGAATGACGAAGTCCATCTAGACAAGAAAAAGGAGATACAACAACAGGGATTGATTAACCCATCTGTAGTGTGCCATACTGGCCTAACTACGGTACGGAGTAGTGCTGCCGCATACAGAACACAAGTTGAAATACTTATAAGGGATATCGTTATGTATCAAAAAACCCATCTGGTGGACGAGTTTACGTCTATATTGTATCACTACAGTGTGACTGATGTAATGTGCGAACTGTCTTCATTTAAGACGTGCTAAGGTCCGTGGTATCAGCCGATACTGCAAGCATTAGTACTGAGCAAAGATCATGTAAAGACCACCGACAACAAAGAGTGGGTAGGGAATGATGAAAAATAATAGTGGACGTGTGCTAAGCATACAGCACAGAAGGAAACGCTCGATTATGCAAGAGCCCCCGCATAAGTCGCCTTTAACGAAACAAAAGCAGTGGGATACTGCAGGTTTATTCTTGGTTTCTTCATTGTCCCTTGAGCAGAAGATGCACATCTGCACAGGGGTTAACAGTACACTACAAACTGATTTATCAGGTCAATGATATTTGCATAAATATGAAAACCACATCTGTGACCATTTGAAGAATTTGTGTTTCCATTTAATTTCTCCTGAAAGGAAGTCGTGTATTTGCGCAGGTAAATAGACTATAAAAACTAAATCTAAACACTGCTTGCCTTGTTAGGTTGATTGGTATAAAACATAATGATATATTTCAGCGGTTATTATATAACCGCTTTCAGATCGGAACATCAACTTTACATTCAGAAAGTTATGAATGATAGAACATATCTTTACATCAATTTATCGGTGAAGAATTGTGATAGCTTAAGTCGCTGTTTTGTAAAACCTGATTAACTAGAACATTTTATATAAATCTTAAGAATGAAATATGTTGTGCAAGTACGGTGGGTTGATTGGCGTATTGTATAGACACAAAAAGTTTCAAAATCCCATGTTCTTATTACCTCGTAGTTCAATATTGTATAAGATGAATGCAATGTATCTAATTGTTAATCATTCATATATATATATATATGCTTAGTTGTTTTATTTAAAGAACAAGGCACAAATCTTTTGTTTTATATCAATTGACTTTACAACCTTGCTTTGAATAGATTAAGCGATAAAAATACCATTTAAAAAAATCAGATTTTTTTTCCTGAAATGTCACCCCGATTATATCTTTTTTGATAAGAGTATCAAAAGTTCATATAAATGATAATTGACATCATTATAAATAAGTAGTTATGCTTATAAACTATTTTGTTATATTCAAAGCATTATGTATTTTGAGATTAAAGAACAAATCATGTAATTATCAATTAAATTTATTTTGATTTCTTTAAATATACATCTTAAAATAGCAGGTCTCAAACGACTGGTGGTCGGTTGTCTTGTTTGTATAGCTCTAGAGTTGTTTAAGTTTAGTTAATTTATTAAATCTTATTAACTACTAGGAGAAATAGATACATGGTAACCAATAATTACGATTTTGGGAACCTGTTTCTCCCAGAACGTTCACCATTGGCCCAAGAAGGCTATAACTGTATTTCAATAACAAACTTTCATATTAATGTCACCACCTTATGTTTATGCATGACAACGAATAAAATATATCCGTATGTGGGTACCTTGATCTCTAAAAAGTCTCATAGGTCAAGAAAATCCGTAATAGGTGTTGGAAAGGTACAATTATGTAGTGTATCTCTTAAAGTTTAGAAAAATTCTAAAATTCAAAAGCGATTCACATTTTAACATACATTTTTACGCGTCATTATAAGCAGAAAATGAAGTCTATATACTGGATATTTCAATCTTCCAGCAACAAAACATCAGGAGAGTGTTTCTACATATCACCGTACAACACATAAACCTACAACAGTTTATCCTACAAAGCCAAAAGCTACAGCATCAAGGCACAAAACAATCAAAACTACAACACATCGACCTACAACGCCAAACCCTGCAACAATTAAGCCTACACAACCTAAACATACTGATGTCGAAGCTACAACACTTAAACCTACAACGGTTCAATATACAACGCCTAAATCTCCGTCTTTTAAACCTAAAACAGTCAAGCTTACAACGCCTAAACTTGCACCACTTCAACCAACAACAGTCAAACATACAACATCAAAACCTATAACAGTAAACCCTAAAACACCAAAACCTTCATCAGGGAATCCAACAACACCCAAACCTACAACAGTACACCCAACAACACCCAAACCTAAAACAGTAAACCCAACAACACCCAAACCTTCATCAGATAACCCAACAACACCCAAACCTAAAAAAGTAGACCAAACAGCACCCAAACCTACATCAGTAAACCCTACAACACCAAAACATTCATCAAGGAACATTACAACACCGAAACCTACAACAGTAAACCCAACAACAACCAA